CTCCCCCCCCCTCACCTGCAGCGCCCTCGGGTCGTTCCCGCCGCCGTCTCCGCCCGGGAGCCTGGGGAGCGCGTCGGGCGCCAGGAAAAGAGCTCGGGGCCCATCGCCGCCCCCCGCCAGCGCCGCCCGCAGCAGCAGCGACGTCCGGCCCGACCCCGCCGGGCCCAACACCAGCACCGGCACCGGCGGCGCTGCCTCCTCCTCCGCCGCCCTCACCGAGCCCAGCGCCCGCTCCAGCGCCGCCGCCATCGCCGTCCCCGGCCGGACTGCCTCCCCGCCACACGGGAGTCGGCCAATCAGGTGAGCGTCTCTCCGCCCCGCAGCCAATCGCGGAGGGGCTCCCCTCAGCGCCGCTCCCGCCCGCCGCGGCCGGCCAGCGCCTCCGCCAATCAGAAAGGAGCTCCCCTCAGCGCCGCTCCCGCCCACCGCGGCCGGCCAGCGCCTCCGCCAATCAGAAAGGAGCTCCCCTCAGCGCCGCTCCCGCCCACCGCGGCCGGCCAGCGCCTCCGCCAATCAGAAAGGAGCTCCCCTCAGCGCCGCTCCCGCCCACCGCGGCCGCCCAGCGCCTCCGCCAATCAGAAAGGAGCTCCCCTCAGCGCCGCTCCCGCCCAACGCGGCCGCCGAGCGCCTCAGCCAATCAGAGCAAAGCTCCCCTCAGCGCCGCTCCCGCCCACCGCGGCCGCCGAGCGCCTCAGCCAATCAAAAAGGAACTCCCCTCAGCCCGCCGGGGGCGTGGCGCCGCACCCCGAAGCCCCGCCCTCCCCGCTCCCTATTGGCCGCTGGGGCCGCCCATCCAGCGCTGCCCCGTCTCTTAATGAGATGCAGCGCCCCGCCCCTTTGCCTCCCCCCGCCGGCCAATGGGGAAGCGGTGGGCGGGTCGGGGGGCGTGGCCAGAGGGGCTGTCAATCACTCCCCGCGTTGCCATGGCGACGGGGAGGGGGGAGACGCAGAGAGAGACACACGCGCTTGTGCAAACGCTGGTGCAAGGCCTGAACCCCCCCCACCGCGGCCGGCGAGCGCCTCAGCCAATCACAGGGGAGCTCCCCTCAGCGCCGCTCCCGCCCACCGCGGCCGGCGAGCGCCTCAGCCAATCACAGGGGAGCTCCCCTCAGCGCCGCTCCCGCCCACCGCGTGCGGCC